TTTAAATGAATAATAATAATTCATTTTAAAATTTTTATTAGTTAGATATACTCACTATAAAAGTGAAAAATCAAGGTTGCACTTATATTACTCTGGAGATAATAATGTTACTTCAGAATGGTTGAAAAATGATCTGACAAATACTTTTCCTTACATTGCTGTGACAAGAGAAGTCAATAGAAAATCAATATCTATGAATTGTCAATAGCTGTATGCAAAATGTCAAAAAACACTTATTTTGTGTTTAAAAATATATGGTCACTTGAAAATTTCTGATTAATGCATGCACTCTCACATTTACTAAGTTGTAATTGTTTATAATACATTCATATAAAATTACCTAGAACCTCTGCCTTTCAAAATACTTTCACATAATATAAAATTATTTGAAAATTCTCACCTGTTGTTAAAAAAAATGACTAAGTCTGACATTCTCAGGCTACACAAATAACACTGACCTGTGACATTTTCAAGGTCAAATATATAATAGCTGATTTTAAGGCAGTTTTTTTTTTACACTGAATCCAAAAATCATATTCATTTTCTCTCATTAGATCAAATTTTTAACATACAAGCTCTTACCTAGAACAGTATTATAACTATTTATTTTCTTGTTGAATTAAACAAATAATGTTAAATTTAGGGCTGATATATTCACAGAAAGCTCACACTAAGTAAAAAGTAAACTGAAAAATACACAAAAGAAGCTATTCATGGATGAAAGGTCTTTTCAGAGACTTCTTCCTCTACTTGGCAGCCACTGCATCCCATTTCAAGCACCAGTGGTAGTCAGCAAGAAAGTTTACATCCCACAAGCCTTGGTAGCACTCTTCCATAAGTGCTTCATCAAACATTGGGTCCTTCATGAGTTCTCTTATTTGAGGGCTATCAAATATACCAGCTTTGAGTTTCTCCATGCTTATCCTGGAGGAAATCAAACCCATGTCCATTGCCTTCACAAAGTTCTCCATTACTCCTAACTTGATATCTAAGGGTGGAAGCAGTATTTTGTTCAGTTCAACGAGAGTGTGAGACTGAACATTATGTGAGCCAGGTTTTAACCCTTGTCTTAATTCAGCTAATGAAAAGAAGGAAGAATGGAAAAAATCTTCTACAAATATTATTTCTATATTTTAAGCAGAATTGGATATATTTGCAATTAAAAATTTTGTTTGTGTAAATAGTCACCATAAAATATAATTGCCTTTTTTTGGGTTGTAAAACATGAGTTTAAAAATCCTACAAAATTATTAGAACTTTTGACTTTTATACAAAAGAGTAAAAGAGAATAACTTTTTTAAAAAGCAGTCTCTCTTCAAAATTTCAGAGAAAAAAAAATATGCAATTACATCTCCCTTTTTTAATTTGATTTTCAATTGTGTATTGAGGCATAACACATTGAAGTTGACACATTTTAAAAATAAGTTCTTGAAAAATAAATACTGACAAAATGAAAATACAGAAACCCAGAAAAGCCAATATAGATGCCTTAGTCAAGAACTTTTCAAAAAATAAAAATAAAATATAGACTCCTTTTGAACATTTTTTTTAACTTTTGTATTTTAATTTATATTCTAGGGCTAGTCTTAAAAAAAAAGATTTCTTTGATATTTTCTAGTTAGAGTTTTGAAGGTTGGGGAGTGGGAATTCTTTGTAATATCATAATATAAAATCAACAATTAACAGATATGTAATATTTTTGAAATATATAAAATATATATTTTTAAAATATATAAATTATTTTTTTTATTTTTAAAAATTATTTTCTATTTTTCTTTGCATATTTTTGTTTTATTCAATGACATCCAGTATTTCAAAATAAAAATAAAGTAAAAATTTTTTAAAATGTCAAATTATTACCCAATAATTTGGCATTTAAAATTTTTACCTTCTTCTTATTTTGAAATACTGGATGTCATTGAATAAAACAAAAATATGCAAAGATATTGGGAAAATGTAAAATAATTTTTAAAAATAAAAAAATAATTTATATATTTTAAAAATATATATTTTTATATCTTTCAAAAATATTACACAACTGTTGATTGTTGATTTTATTAACTATGAGTGCACAGACTTAATCATTTTCACTTTTCATCATTCTCATTCCAGCTATATTGTAGCTAAGACATACTAATTGAAAGAACAAATAAATCTATATCTCCAACATTCCAAAGAATTTTCTACAGAATTTGTCAAAGAATTAACCATTATAATGTAATATTGAAAGTAGGGACATTTATCATATATGGAATTTAAGTAATTGCAATGTGTAGTTTCATAAACAAATCTTAAATTTCATTAATAATAATTATTTATTTTACAGATGAAGATGATGAGACCAACACAATTTTAAAATATGACCTAGGAATAGATTATTTAAATAAAGATTTATTTTTTTAAATTAAATGTAGTAGATAGCGCATTGATTTCTCATGTCTTCATGTAAACCATTGAAATATTTTTGCACTTGTCTTTGATGTAAAATTCTTTTTCTAATTGCTCTAATACTTGATTTATCTATAAGTTATTTTTTTCTATTTTGAAAATAAAATAGTATACTGCCTAAATTTTTTCACAGTAAAAATTATATTTCTTTACATATAATCATCTTCACCAAAAATATTTTATTACTTGAGATCAAAAAATAGCAAATGTATTGAGATTTTTCTTACTCTTTATAATCAACATTTAATGACAAAATTACTTTTAAAAGTAATGAGTGTTCTATTAAAAAAAAAAAAACCCTTGATGATCAACAACGAAAAATTACAAAAAAAATAATTAGTTTGCAAAAAATAAAATATTGTATTTTATTAAGGGCCACCATACTTACGAACAGAAGCCATTCAGTTCTAAGCTGTCAACATGAATTAATAGCGGCTGCTGTCAATCAGTAATACAAATATCACCTCACCCACTCAAATTGACCTTTAACTCATACTGACTGATGCAAGGAACCATGTTATAAAAATACATTTTTAATGTTTTTGACAGTAAATTGTCCAAAGATTAAAGTAATTGTTTGCCATAATAATGTTTTGATGTTACAATTATATTTTATTTTTAATAGGTTTTTATTTATTTACAATATTGTTTTCTGTCAACAGGATATCAATGTCAAGTACTGTAGATTTTAACCGATTTTGAATTTGTAGTCATTTAATTCGACTTTAATTAAAATGATTTTTATTTACAAGACATAAATTTGCGCTCATATGTTTGTGTGAAATTTTTAAAGAAAAATCATAAATCATTATTTTTAAATAACACATTAAGCTTTCAGTTGGTGATACTGACTTTATGAACTTACTGTGGAATTTATTGTTGATCGTGCCATTTTCCAAACTTTTGCAGTTTCAAATAGATACCAAAATTAATTATTATAACCGAAGGTAAATCTGGATAAACTCCATATAAACTCTTAAAAAAAGTTTACTGATTAAACAAGACTGTTTTTCTCTTATGATTGGTTAGAAATTATGCATTTTGCTTCTGATTGATTAGAAAAAAATCAATTTGCACAGAATTTATGCTCAAACTAAAGAATGTCTACAACAAGTAATCACTTTATGAAAACCTTTCATATCCAAATTTGTACTTTTATACAAGTTTTCTGAATACATGATAGATATGAAGAGGATCTGATCAAAAACCCTTGTTCAGTTCAATATCCACTTTTGCCCACATTCCATACTCTTGCATTCTGGTAGGTTAAACACTTATGTTGGCTACAATTTTCTGTAACATGCAATGTCATAAATAGAAAAAAAATTAAAATGAAACAGAGAGAGATTATGCAAAACTCAGTTGCACTGCAGTTGGACTTATGGAAGGATTTTGAGTCCCTTTACTTGGAATGACAATTTAACACAATAGATATAGGACAGCAGTCAAAAAATATAAGTTTGTACAATAAAATTATCAGCACAAGGTTTATCCAGAATTATGCAGATATTGGAAAAGGCCAAATTAGCAAGAAAATATTTTCTCTCAAAATGAGAATATGGTAATGGTAATATTAACTATTTCCTTATAAGGAAAAATTTGGCATTCATTGATTAAACAGTCAGTGTTACTGTTGGTTGAAATTTATAAAATTTTTCTCTAAAACATTTTTTCAGGAAAATAGATTTTTCAAGTTCAGTAAATGTTATCTCTCTTTCCAATATGGATGGGGCTCCCTTCCTAACTTTGTATTCAAAGTAGTGTGGAATGTCAATATCTTATACCATTATTTTCTCTTATTGTACTTACAATCCATTTTAGTTTTTGTTGTTGTTGAAAGTCCTGAAGAGATGTGATTTCTGTTATTTAGTACAGTTCTTTAGATTACCCTCAAAAATTAAGATAATAGTGTTTTGCTAATTGGTTGAGGAATCAAAAAACCTCCCAGAAAAAGGAATAACAAAATGATAATCTTTGTAGTCATGCAATGTTTAAGATAGGTGTTCTGCAGAAAAACAAGATAAAGTCATCTTATCTCAATTTTAACATCAGCTCTTCTAAATCCCAGAATTCCCAAAAGAAAACAAGCTCATGCTAGATTCTTTGGTTAACATTCACTCAATAAATACAGGACACCCAAATCAAGTATATGGGTTTCATTGGATAACCAAATGTAATTTAAAGGAAAGAGAGAAAAAAAATCACACTGAAATAAAGTGAAAATTACAAATAATCTTGATTTTTTTTTTTACTGGAAGAAAGTATACAAATTAAAAAGTTATCATGAATTATATAATCAGAGTCTAATATCATTTTTAAGTAAATGAAATTAATATTTAAACAGGTTTTTTTTAAATCAATAGCATGATTAGCGTTACAGCCTTTTCAATTTTTATTTTGAAAAAAATATGTGAAAAAAATTAAGAATGAAAAAGAAAAACTAATGTGTGTTGATTTTATTTAGCACCAAAGAGAACATCTTTTGGGTTTCCACCAAATGGAAAATGATGACATAAAAATACAAATTGACAGCAGAAATTTTAAAATGAAAACTAAAATTTAGCTCTCTTTTCTGCATTAACAACTTCTGATACATCTCCAAGCCTTTTCTTGCATTTTTCTGTCTGAGAAAGATTCCCATTGTCGCCTAAAATTTAAAAAAAAATCATTAAAGGTTAAAAATCTTCAAAATGCAATGCATTCCCTAATTTTTTTTAAATCACTAGACCTTAATACTAAAATTGAAATCTTGCCTGCAAATAAATCTACTTTCAGTACATACATAACACCACACAAATATTGTTTAGTTGAATACTTTAACATGCATATATTTGAGATAAAATGAATACTCACATGTTGTTTGAGAAGGCACAATTTTGAGTATAACACAGAAGTTTAATTTGGCTCCAGGTACAACAGCACTAAAGACTTCTACCTGTCCTTGCCAAATTTCATTTTTGGGTAAAATCTGGAATGCTTGGGAGATGCCTCTTGCTTCACCAATGTCAAGGATACAATAAATGGTTGAACACTGGTCTTCAAGTTTTGTGATAAATTGAAGCAGAGCTTTTTCACAATAATTAAGATAATTCACAATATCTGTATTAACAGAACCAATGCATAAAACATAATCCATTTTATCTGAAACATCCAGCATGTTTAGTTTGCCGTAACCAACAGCATTTCCTGTGGTAGTATTGAGTGCATGCTGCTTCAAGTACATGTATAACTGATTTGTACAAGAAGTTTCTAAGTCTGATAAACTGATAACATCATCATCTGGTTTATAAAAAACTTGGTAGCGTTCCTGTAAGTTGACTTGCAACCAAGATTTTAGAGTATATGCTTCTTGTGTGACATCCTGGATTGATGTGTCCATCACCTGTGATTTGGAACGCAATCGTAGTAGCTGTCTTCGAATCTTACAACTTCTATCATTCACTTCATTGATTGGCAAGAGCATCACTTCCTGTTCTTCAAGTGACATCAATATTCCAACCTCTTTACCACTATCAAGAGATGCTTTCTTCAGATAACTAGCCACTGTTGTCCAAATATTATCTTCTTGTTCTTTAATCACTGAATCATCTTCAATATCAATCAAATACTGAAATTTTTCTGAATGTTTTTGATCAAATCTGAACAAGAGAGTAAAGAAGACTTCATACATCTTTAACCTGAAACAAGAAAAGTAAAGATAACAATAGAGTTAAGATATAGATTAAGTTAGCACATGTACATGAGTGGAGAATAAAAGATGGGACCAATTTAAGTTTAGACTCTGTTCTGATTTATGAGCAGGAATATAGAGAAATTAGATACCATGAAATAAAAAAATAGTAAAAAAAAACACACTGGATTAAAAGCCTCTGAAATGTGTGGCTGATATCCTTATCCTATCATTATACTAAATAAATTCCAGTGGACAATATAGGAAAGAATATCAAGATTCATATTCCATTCAAGTGCAAACAAAATGATAGTGATTTTTATTTAAGTAAATGTAATAATATCAATACTTGATGTTCCATACAAGAGACAACCTTTGACCTTCTCATTAACTTATATTATAAAGATGTAACTGCCTAAGGCAAAAGAGTGTACTAGAATTAAAAACATTCTTCACTAGAATGTTGAAATGTTTGCAATAGGATTACTAAACATAGTTCTTAGCAATACCTAATGAAAAGATTATTGAAAGATTGATTTATTAGAAACAATAAATCAAAGGATTATATACAGAAGACTGATTTTACTAAAATGCAGTTTAGTAAATTAGACTAGATTTACAGATAACAAGAATTTCCATGATGACAGTTCTATGGCTTAATTCTGAGTGATAGAAATTGTTGCAGTTAATGGGTTGATAAAAACAAATCAAAAAATGACCTAATTGTGATGCAATGGAAGCCATTGTTCATTCCTGCACTGTGACTTCAGAATTATTAAATATTTAACAGAAAATTACTTGGTGCAAAGATCCTCACACACACAACTACCAATCTCAAGGAAAGAATAGATACCTTATAACTAAAATAAATACTGACCAAGACTATATAAATACTAAGACAAAAGAATGTCATAATTGAAATAAAGAAACAGAGACCAGAAAAAAAAATCAGCAAGTGATTAATTTCTGATTTCAAAGTCCTACTATAAGGAGATCTGTACACAATTGTCAAATCAGGTTGATCAATATAAAACGTCAGTGAGATATTTTTGCAGTCATCAGCAGAGCAAATTCAGATTATCATTAGGACATGGTCGGACCTGTATAAACTAAGTCATTTTGTCTCTGTAAGCAGAAGGGATGGTTGCTGTGTCTTAATGTAATCTGTTTGTGACTCATATTGATGATTCTTGGATAATAAATCAGAAAATTTATTTAACTTCCTTCCTTGCTCATTTGTTAATTCTTAAATAATTTTTTGCAAATCTCTTTCTTCTTTTTCTTTGTCATGGTTTATTATATTCTGCTTGCTGGTTTTGATGAGATAAATAAGCCATCAGTAATAATAAGAAAAAAAAACAGGTAAATAAAATTTGCAATTTAAGTGAATTAGGGATTTAGAGAGAGGCTGTGAATGCTAGGAGGAATAAGAACTCACCTTAATAAGTGAACAAATACTTTGTTCACCAAAGCCAGGGATTAAACTCATAACTGAACCAAATATATTTTAATCCACTCAGCCATAGGTCTTTTGGACAATCTAGGTGTCATTTTGTAACCATAACCCTTTCCTTGACAATTATTTTGGGAAAAACATTTAATTTTCAGATGAATTTTTTTATTTATTTTTAATATAGTAACTAAGTAACTGTGGCACTTTGAAGTACTCGAGTGGTGGCTAACACATCTACCAGATGTATGAGTTGACAACTGGATTTGTTTCAAGCTCAGAAGGGCATAAAAAGAATCAAGATCAATGTATAAACACATCTGCAGCTGTTTTTGAACTTTATGTTTTAGAAATGTTTATTCATCCATGTCTGAAAAAGACATTTTCGGTAAAAACATATATACACATCTATGCCAGAGAAGGGGTTAAACAAACTCTTTAATAAAGTGGTAGAATTTTTGTGAACGTTCTTAATCAGTGGCTCCTAAAATGGTATTCATCTCTATGCTAGGTTTACTGATGTGGCTGTCAGTATTCAGGAAGTACAGAAAAATCATTTATTCTGTTTCAATTGAAGAAAAAGATTAACTGATACAAAATATCCCCTAAGTATAGAAAGTGAAATGAGAACAATTTACACCTATGGATAGAATAAACAGTTAAATTCAAACTTTTGAGAAGATTATCAAGTATGACAGTTACCTGAAGAAGGCTATAGGGTACTATTGTGAATATAACAACCTAGATATATGTACTAGTCTGACTGTAAAAGCATATATTTATGACATTCCACATCTTAAAAATTACAACATGTACAAACAACATGTAGGAATTTGATTTTCTGGCAACTGAAAGCATAATGAAAAGAGTAGCATTATATAATACTTACCTGAGACACTCTACAATATCCAGAAAAAAATATGGCAAATATTCTGGCTTGAAACTAGGTGGCATAATGTCATGCCAGAAGAAAATATTCATTTTTGAAGCTTGGTATCGGTTTTTACAAATTCGTAATATGCGAGACTGGCTTTGTAGGTCACATTTCTTATTCCGACAAATGCATAAAACCATTGCTACAAAATATTTTTAAAAAGAAATAAAAGCAATCAAATAAATGATTAAATATTTTTTTAAATTATCAGCATATTATAAGAAATATTTGTTTTAAAAATACAAGAAGAAACATTATTTATTATTATACATTGTTTTTCAACTGAAATTTCCCATATTTCCATCAAGTTTACCATTTTTCAATTAAAATTACATCTTTCTGAACTGTCTTGGCCTATCTTCAGTTGAAATTATTACACATTTCTCTATTTTCTTAACTGATTTTATTCCTTTCACATAAGAAATTACACCTTTCATAATTATCTTTGCTCTTTACACAGTATTATAACAGTTTATTGAAATTACTCCTTTAAGGACTTTACTGTTTTAATAATTGAAATTACTTCTATCTCCAATAACTTTAATCCTTTTTCACCATTCAAATTATTATTCCTTTCCCAATTCACTTTAACCATTACCAACTGATTACTATTTCCTAAACTGAAATTACTTAATTGAAGTTGTTACCATTTGTCAGTTGACTTTAATTTTCATTGAAGTTACTTTTTTCAATTTAAATTTATGTTTGTTTCACCCTTGCAAGGATAAGGAGAAAGTAGTCTACAAGGCTTGATGGTGGAGTGCAATGTGCGTGGTGCAGAGCTTTTTGAGTTAGTGGTGTCTAATGAGCAGTTCACTACTTTTCTCTTCAGCAACTGTTCATTTGTAACTTTCAAAAGGTGTGCTGCTTTATAGGGTTTGCTAAATGCAGGCTTATACATAATCTTTATTTTAAGGTAGATTGCTAGAACAAAGATCTTTGCCATCTTCACAATGTAACTTGATTATGCATTGTTCCCTGTTGTGCAGCCATCTATAAGCAGACGCCCCAGGTTTAGGATGTTGTTCTATATCTTGCAGAGCATCATACTAAATAAGATGGAGAGTAAGTACACATCACAGCTTTGCACCACTGAAGATGATGAGGCTTTGTACAGAAGCCACACCAACTTATTGGTGTTCTCTATTCAACAAGTATGTGGAGAGGAGCAAATTTTGGAAGACAAGAGCCAAAATCTTACTAGTGATGGAAAGTAATATGATGACTCTGTAATCAGAGAAGTAATATTTTCTACCATATTTTTACAAGACGTGTATAAGCTCTCCAGTCTGACTCAGAGCGTCACCATTTTGCTGAAAGACCTCTGTCAGGATTCCATCACTGCCAGTTAGGTAATGGCCTTCTTAAGAAGTTTGGTGGGTATTCATGGTTTAAGTTTATTTTATCTGAATGTTTCAGATCCATTGAGGACACATGCACGAAAAATTTGCTGCTGAAGAGGTTCTTGAAATACTCTGTCCAGTATTGCATGATGACATCTTTGTCAGGTCAACCCTCCTGACATCAACAGAACATAGAAGTGATTGGTGAGTGTTTCATAGAAAGAGTCAATATCCCCTACATCAACTTGCATATATTCTGTGGGGGAAAATCACCAGCCATTTTTTAACATGTGCAGCTTGGACTGGTTGGAAATACAGACCTTTCAATAAACATCTTTAGTAGTATGATTATTGGGCTTAGCAGAAACATGGTTATGGCATTATATTTATTTTCTAGGGCTCTTGCATTTCTGTGTGTAGAAGTCAAGTGACTTATTCAGGTCAGCTTTAACTTGTGACTACACCAGTCTACTTGTGTGTCAGACCACTTGCAATCTAACCAATATTCTACACTGTGATTTGCCAAAGTAGACCTGTTGTTCATAAGCCTATGATTTCTGTCAAGGCCTCCTGCAGCACCCTCCTGAGCTGGTTGCACTGGTGAACAAGATCTTCCAGCTTAAAAGATATTGTTTCACCACAGGTCTATAGAGCTGCTGAATCTGCAGACCTTTCTTTTGAAAAGGAGCTTGACAGTGAAGCCAATTTGTAGTTAGTGCAAGAGTCAATACTTGGTATCACTCTGGTGTATAAAACAACTTTGACCAAGACACAGTTCAGGAGGTGTCAATGTTTGAAATAAAAGCTTTTCCGAGTGGCCTTAAATATGTCTTGCAGAGACAGAGTATTTGTAAATGAATAACCCATGTTCTGCATAGAACCCATCTAAAAGTTGGTCATTGTCATTGTATGTTTCCCTTGGATTACCCAGCACAGCTACCCAAACATTACAATCCACCATTTAGACAATTTTGTTTTAGATCTATTAGCCACAGGAAGTTGTGCAGGTCTTGGTAAAAAGACCTGCCTTGAAGGTAATGCCAGCTTGGAGTGTGGATGCATAAACACTAATGATTGTAACAGACTTGTTTTCAACCCAGAATTGCAACAACATGAGGTTATCTAAGTGGCCAACAGGTAAACAGTGAAATCTGTTGATCATGAAGACTCGTCTAACAAGCATTGCTCCTCTCTTATTTTTCCCAATCAGAATATCTGTAGCTGCCATCTTGCTATGAGAGTGAACTATAGTCTATAAAATGTACTTCACTGACAGCAGCTATATCAACAAATTCTCTTTTAACTAGCGATATGCATATCTCGGGTTAATTATTTCTATCTGTATTCATCACTGAGCATATATTCCAATAACCATATTTGAAATATTTCTCTCCTTCCATCTGCATTAGTTAAATTGGAGATCAACTCACACAAAACTGGTTCTTCTCTTTAAGATTGGTCATTCAGATGGCCAAGGTGACTGCTAAACTGAGATTAAAATTATTTTCACATTTATTTTTACCATTTACACAACTAACTTAATTTTATTGATATTACACTTTTTAAGATCTTATTTTTTTCCCTAATATTGAAATAAAACTTTCTTATAAAAATATTTCAATAATTCAAAAATATTTACTGTTGATTTTTATAAATTTTCCATATGAATCACTTTTTTAATAGTGTAGTTACATGGCAGTATTATCATTTTTGCTTCATTGGCAGCAGCCTCAAAAATAAGTTATGGCTACATCTAGCTAGCTCAACTGTATATTGATGCGATCTCGTTGCCAGTCTAGTATTGTGCTCAAACTCATACAGTCCAGGTACCATAGCAAAGAGTTCATCCAAACAGTCATCACGAAAGTATTTGTAAAAAATGAACAGAGATGCAACCTTATAGTGGTGGGCAAGTGACTGAAGCTGAGCCACCAGATTAGGACCAATAATATTGCTGATTCTTCTTTGGATCTTATCAAAAAGATCCAGGTAAATTGCAGGAGCACTAGACCATATATCGCAGCAATATTCTAAATATATACTTATAGATATGCAAGATAGATTCAGGAGAGAAAACTTGTCTCACCTGACACAATGAACCAACTTTCTTAGCAGCTGATGTAACAATGGATTTGATATAGTCTTTTCATTTCAAGTCACTTGAGAAGACACGCTGAGTCACTTTCCTGGAGGATAGCATCAGTCATGCTCATGGGAGGCAGAGAGGGGGTCTCTCAAATGATTAATAGAAGTTTAGTTTTGGAAGCATTAAAATTGACAAGCAAACTCTTGCCCCAGTTAACGACAGCCTTGAGGTCGTTTTGTACATCAGCTGTCATTTTGACCTTGTCAAACTGATCAGCCTTAGTATCAAGGCAAGAGTAAATGGTAGTGTGATCAGCGTAGATGCTAAGTTGAGAGCTGAGCTCATTGGGAAGGTCATTAATGAAGATTGAAAACAGCACAGGGCCAAGGATGAAGCCCTGGCAGACACCCATGTTAGTATGAAAGAATGTAGACGAGTGGCTGTTTAGAACAACTTTCATTTCATGATTTGATAAGAATGACTGGATCAGCTCAAAAATGTGCCTGGGGATACTTTAATTTTTCAGCTTGTGGAGAAGACCTGAATGCCAAACTGCAGATTGTTGGGAAAAGTTCTTTGGAAGTTCAGTTTCACTCATATGGTTGAACAATAAGTTTCTTCAGACTATATCTAATTCAATGAAGAAAATCTATTGACAGAATTCTGGTAGAAAGTTTGAATTTTTCTTGAGTCAATTTTTTCACTTTCTTGAGAAATGTTGTGGAATCATCTTGGAATTTTTTCTTATAAAAGATTTGTGTAGATATCAGTTTTTAATAATATCCAGACTTCTTAATTGAAGAATTTTTAACAAGCTTTTTGCAGTATTGTAGTTAATACTGAGAATGATAAAGTGTGTACAGATGTTCTCTTTGGCTGTTTGCAGCAGGAAGAATCTGTATTTTGCTTTCAAATGAGTATGTTTTTAGGAATATTTCTGTTGGACTAATTTTCTTTCATTCTTAAAAGTTTTTGTTTATCTCAAAGTAAAAATAAAAATCAGTTACAAAATTTTCTGTATAGTCTCAATTATTATAAATTTTAAGAAATGGGCAAAGAGAAGTCATAGACAAAAATTGGGTGTCGAAGCCTCAGTAATTAAATTCCTAATAAATTCCGTGTCAAATTTTGACATTTTAGTTTATAAATATTTTTAAAATAATAATAATAATAATAATATTTGAGAATGTAATTCCAATCTCATCATGAAGGCTCTTACATCTACATGATGTTTTATCTTCATGGAAGAATTCTATTAAGATCTCATTTTATGAAAAGTATAAAAATTAGTGTAGAGCTTACTTTCTTGTTCTTGAGAAGAAGTGATATGAGGTGAAGATGGTTGTGTACAATTTGTCAAATCTACAGAAAGAGTTTCCACTTGAAGATTAACAGGACCATCTAAAATTAGACAAAGGAACAATATAGTTAATATAATTAAAAGCATAGAATAACTAGTACAATAATATAAGTTCTGTTTTATATAAATTTTTGTTGGATTTTCTTTCTCAAATAAATAAATTAATACAAAGTTTAAGTTAATCTATTTATTTGAGGAACCAAGATAAATACACAAATTAATACTTAAATAAAAAAACTTTAAAAAATAGCTTCGTTGTTCATAACCTGCTGAATTCCTTATAAAAATCATGAATGCAATATTGCTTTTACTATACAAGATATCAAATATTATTTACATACCAGTATGGTATAAAAGAAATTGAAGATTAGCTGATATTGGTTGTCCACCTACCCAAACCAACTTAATAGATTCTAATTAGCAGCAGAAGGCTTGTCACACCTGCCAATTAAAATGAACACTGCCCTAAAGTTCAATATAAGCTCTCAATTTCTCCTCAGAAATTGTACCAGCTGCTAAATATATTCTATTGGTTACTTCACATGTTCCACTTTGTTGTTGCTACATTTTGAGCATGTCAAAACTGCACTGGTGTCCTTTTTGTGCAAAAAAGATATTTTTTGCTGACAATACCACACAACTAACACTTAGCAGATTTACTTTTTTTTTTCTCATTTTGTCTTATCTAATGGACAAGGAAGGTAAAATTAGAGCTGCTAAAGCCTTATTTTCAGTCTTATTGAAAAGGAAGATTTGAAAAGAAAAAAAAAAACAACAGCACAAAACCTCTAAAAGAGGAATTAGAAAAAGAAAAACTAGAATCCAAGACTGGCAAAGAAAAAAAAATGAAACAGAAAAAGAAATCATCAAGGAAGAAGAATTAAACAAGACACAGGAAAAAGGAACTAACATATGATCAACAGTTTGCTTATGAATTTACCGGAACTTAAAGCAATAGAGAAGAGACTTGTCTCTGTATTCACAGTAGACAAGAAAAGTGAACAAAGTTATAAAATCAACCAAAGATCACAGCAGTGTTAGATCCAACAAATCCTCAAAAGAAAGAACTTCTCAATGTGGAACATACAGCTACACACATCAGAAGACTGTGAGGCTCTAACCAAAAAGATTTTCAAACTAAAAAAAAGTATTATAAGAGTTAAATATCAGGGCCTGCAATGAACATAAGTGGCCCTTTATTCAGGCAAGAGCTTTTTTTTCAACAATATGGGGAATGCCAACCACTATTACTGAATATAGATGGTCAGACGAAGCTGCTGGCCATTGTTTCAACAACAGCAACAACTAAAATGGATAGTACATGTAACTTGAAGAGAAAATAATCTAGATATTGACATTTCATACTAATTTGAAAAAAGTTTAAGAAGGAAGCCCCATCAATACTAGAAAGAGCAATAACAGTGGACTTGAGAAACCTATTTTCCTGAAAAATTGTTTTAATAAATTCCAAATGATAATAACACTGAATGCTTGGTCATTGAATGTCAAATTTTTCCATATAAGGAAACAGCTAATATTACCATTACTATTGGCCCCCAGACAATGTAGCAGAGACCTCAAAAACATATACAGATTTATTCAAAAGCCAAGGAACCTGTGCAAGCTCAGGAAAGAGAAGAGAGAAAAAGTTCTCCAGGAAAAACACCATAGATGGGCAAGTGAACAAAGCTGCAACTCATCCTCCCCTAAAAGTAAAATTACAGCCACTATTATTTTTTTACCATCTCTGCTACTATCACTACTACCACCATGAACACTACTGCTACATCACCCAGAGAAAAATACAAACGGGAAACTGATAAAATCTTCCCACCTCCATCCTAGTCCAGTTCTCTCAGATGCAGACTGGCCTCTGACATGCTATCATTGTCAAGAAGGGCATTAAATGATGTTTTAGTCAATGGGGCCCATTCAAGGAATCATCTGCCTGATGAGGTGGGGGAGTATCATTCCTTATGGCCTTGGGTGCCAGAGTTCAAATATCTCACTAGTGATGAAGCATCCTTCACCTAGCTAGCATGGATGAATCAAGTTTACAGAGAGTTGCCTCTTTCTTACCATCATCTGGTTGTGTTCTTCAAGCATCAGCTGAAGGTCAAGATCAGGGTAGTGAAAGAGACTCTTTAGTGAATGGTGGATGAATGTTGCATGTCTTGTGCAAGTGAAGGGGAGCTAACCTTCAGTGGCATCACAAGCTGTTTGGTTAAAGGATTTGATCTCCTGAGAAAAATGTTTTTGCTCAGCTCAGTTGGTTTAGATTGCTTTTATTTTAGTTTCCTAAAATGATTAACTTAGCTAGAGAATAAATGTTCATTAGTCTCCTTTGTGTTTTTTAGTCCACAGCATTTCAGTTTTTTTCAACCCCACTGACTCCCATTCCTTATTTGGCTGACAGAATGCATAGTTCTTTAAAGTTATAGAAACACTTCTATTTGCTTTTATTTTATTAAATGATCTCAATTTTTTTACCTAGTTAACTTTTCTTTTTTTTCAAAAGAATTTAAATCATGGAGAAGATCCCTACTAACATATTTTTCTTTATATACTTAAAATAAAAAAAAATTTCATTTTCAAATAAAGGAGGATTTTTTTAAAAGCTGTAAATAGAAATTGTTGTGACTTGTGCCACATTTTTGTAATTATACAAAATAAATATGTACTGTGCCAGCTGCCTGGAGAGCTCTTGTCAGTCTGAACAAAGAATTTCTTCTCTTAGTTTGTTTCCAATATTCTATCCCAACACTGGTAGCAGTGCATAGTTATGGAGACCAAATGCAATGTTTGTTTGGTTTGTTTTGGTTTGTTTGGTTTTGTTTTACTGCATATCAACCTCAATGGGTTACTTAATGCCAACAAAATTTTTATTGTTGGTAATATTTTTTTTTAAATCTATTTCTGGTAAAATTTTTCCTTCAAATTTTCTTTTAAATATGTATCACTGGTAATATTTTTTCTTTTCAAAAAATGTATAGCTGGTAATAATAAGTATTTCCTATTTTTATTAGAACCTATTTTTACACTTTCATAGTGTTTTGACCCCAGTTACAATTCCATTGAATAAGGTTTTGCATCTTGATTATATATTACAAATTTTTACCTGTCCAAATTTTTTTTTTTATATGGGTGAAGTGTCCATCATTTCTATATACTTCAAACTATTAGTGTTTTGTTTCTTGTTGTTTTGTTCTTTGAACTTCTTTTAATGAACTTTGTCTAGATGATGATCTTTCCCTTGTATGTGATGGGTTAGAGATTTGTTCCTCTATGTCCATTTTCCTTGGTTCTTCAATAACCGTTTCTTTTTCTCAGATTTTTTTTTCCGCTTGGATTTTTCCGGTGTAATAGTTTTATAGATGTAGAGTCATTTTTGTTTGCGGTTGGCAGTATAGGGTTTGTTTTTCCATTAGGTTCTTTTAATGATCTTTGTATAGATGATGACCATTCCCTTGTTTGTGATGGGCTAAAGTTTTGTTCCTCTATGTCCAATTCTCTTGATTCTTCACTAAAAGTTGAGTTATTTTTTTATGTACCTTTTGATTCTCTTGAGAAAGTTTAGAGGTTTCGATTTTTTTCTATTTCATTTTCGCTTTCAGAAGTCTCATATTGTTTCTTAGTTCACTTATAAGAGATAGCCATATAATTTTAATTTTTGTATTCACTGTCTGTGCTCCCCACCACCTTGGAGTTCCTTCTTAAGGGATGCTATCAGGGGGGACTAATTCCATTCGCCCTAATCCACCAAGGCTACACAGACAGTATAGTTGTGATGAGAGTGGATACGAGCACCTGTACTCCCCCACCATATCTACCCAAGTATAGTATTATGTAAGGTTTCATGGCCCTGTCGGACCCATTATTTATCATCCCAACTAGCCCTTGCCACTATGAGACTAGCTGATTGGAATGGATTGGGCTATTCCATCCACCCGTCTATCCCAGGTAGGGACGGAAGTGATGTGGAAACTCCTGGTCATTTTATACCAGATCAGGAGTCACTTAATCACCAGGATTCCATTCCCAGGCATCACAGGTCACCACCCATGGCAAACGGGTGGCCCCATCTAGGGGAAATTTTAGCTTTTTTGAAATTGGGTTTTGTGAATGTGCACTTTATATACTGCAATTTGTGTTGATGGTATTATTATTACAAAAAACCCATTCTTAAACTTTCCTAGTATTCCAACTCCAGATCAAGGGAGGGGGGAAAACTATTTACCCATAGCTGGGACCCTAACAGGTGCTACCACCCCAGGTCAGGGTGAACCTGGGAGCAACAGCAACTAAGAGGCAGTTCCACGCTCCACAGAACCTCCTGATCAGAGGCCTTGCTGCTGGATGCAGTTTATCGTCATACCCAGGACAACCAAATGCAATGTGAAAATTCCTTCTGTAATAATAAAATTAAAAAAAAAGATTTTGAAACTTGAACTTTACACTGACTTGTCTAATATAAAATAGGCCATTGCTATACATTGGAATTTAGCTGAGAACAGCAGAGCCAAATTAGAGCTTGAATAATGGATTTGAATTGCTTCTTGATAAACTATATTAGATATTTTTACAGGATAATAGGTGGCATCATTTCAATGCATATCTGTCCTTGAATCAGACAGGAGAATTGATGAATAGCTCAGTGCATTTGAAAACTGATTACATAAAGTTAGAGATGAAAATTAAGCTCCTAGATGTCATACTTACATGCAAATTACTGAAGAGGTGTAGCTTAATTTAGCTCTATCAACCACACCAATATGAGAAAATATTTACAGAAAGCAGTGGAACATTGTCTGCTCTTGTTAGTGTAAACATATTGAAGGTGAAGTATATGAGTTGGTAAATAAAGAATATGTAGAAATTACAGAAATCACTGTGGAAATAAATAAAGTAAAATTAATCCTAAGGGCATGGACAATAAAATTACCCTATGCTTTATTTTCAGTTCCCTTTCTGATAATGTGAGTTTTGATAATGGTGAAACAATAGAAGAGGTGTGACAACACTGCTGTCTTTGAAGGAATAC